TGTTCCTTTAGAGAAGTGGACTGGAGAAAAGCAAAGTGTGATCCATCTGAAGGTGTTTGGTTCTGTTTGTTACAAACATGTTCCAGATACTAAGAGAAGGAAGTTGGATGATAGAAGCAAAGTTATATTGCTTGTAGGGTATCAGTAAGTACATAAGAAATGCTCAAGAAGAAAAGTTGGTTGAACACCATGAAAGAAGAACATGAGGCTATAGAATGAACCAAGACTTGGGAGTTGACTGAGCTTCCAAAGAACAACAAAGCCATCAATATTAGATAGGTTTTCAAGGTGAAACTAAAGCCAGATGGATCAATTGGTAAACATAAAGCAATGTTAGTTGCAAGAGGATTTCTACAAAAATTTGGGTTAGATTACTTCGAAGTGTTTGTTCTTGTAGCAAGATATGAGACAATCAGACTAGTGATTGCGATAGCTGCTAACAGGAATTGGCCTCTAATGCATTTAGATGTGAAATATCTATTTCTTAACGGTCTATTGCAAGAATAGGTATACGTGTCAGAACCTCCTAGATTTATGAAAAATTATCAGGAAGGGATGATCTACATGTACATATAGTGTTATATGGAATGAAACAAGCTTCTAGAGCTTGGAATCTGAAAATTGATTCATTTTTCAGGCTCCGAGAATTCATAATGTGTGAGATGGAGTATGTTGTTTATATTTAGCATACTTCTGAAGGCAATATGATTCTAGTGTGTCTCTATGTTTATGACATATTGCTAACATGAGATGACTAAGTTCAAGAAGGTACTGATGAATGAGTTTGAGATGATTGATCTAGGAAATATGTCGTATTTTCTAGGGATAGGGATTATGTACTCTGAGAAAGGTATCATTTTGCATCAGCTGAAGTATAAACTTGAGCCTATGAAGAGATTTGAGCTGCTGAAATGTAAGGTTGCTGTCACACCTTAAAAAAAATCACAAATTAGATTATGACCTAAGGGTGATGATGTAGATGCTACAAACTTCAAGCAATTGGTTAGCTCTCTGAGGTATTTGTGTAATATGAGACCTGATATTTGTTATGCATTTGGAATGGTTAGTAGGCTCATGAGTAAACCGAAGTGGTTTCATGACCAAGTTATTGTCAGAATTTTAAGGTATATTAAGGGGACTCTAAATTATGGTGTATTATTTTGTTCTGGTGAAAATGCTAATTCAGATCTGACGTGTTACTCAGACTCTTATTGGTGTGGATATATAGTTGACGGAAGAAGTAGTTTTTGGATATTTGTTTAAGTATTTGGGAGGTCCTATTTCTTGGTGTTCCAAGAAGCAACCATATGTTGCTTTGTTGATTTGTGAAGTTAAGTACATTGCATGTGTTGTGGCTGCATGTCAAGTTGTTTGGCTTCTGAATTTACCGCAGCATCTGAAGATTAAGGTAAACAAGCCTCTGAAGCTGGCAATTGATAACAAGTCAACAATCAATCTTGCCAACCAAGAAGTCAGTGATGCATGGGAGAAGCAAGCATATTGAGACTAAGTATCACTTTCTGAGAAGTCAGGTTCATAATGGAATGCTAGAAGTTATGCACTATAGCACCCAGAAGAAGATGGTAGGTGTTCTGACAAAAGCGATCAAGACTGATCAATTTTTTTACTTGAGAGATGGAATTGGTGTTGTTAGTTTTGATTAGCAGAATATGAATTAAGGGATGATGTTAGAAGTAATTCATATTCAGTAGTAGTATTAGTTTTTGTTAAGCTTAACATAACTGATGTAGGTTAACATTTTGTCTACGTGGCATTATTTTTTATGTATATAAACAAGTGTAGATGTCAATAGTGTAGAGGCGCAACCATTCACCGTAACCATTTTTCAAGAGTAGTGGAATTTCGTTATTCTCTCTCTTCTTCCATCTTCATATTCTTCATCTTGTGCATAAATAGTCGCATCATCAAGATACCAAACATGAAGAAGAAGCTTATAGTTTTCGTTGATTTGATGAATGAGTGGTTGTAAAAAAGGGCAAAAAGAAGCGACCCTAACAGGTCACTTTGTTGCACTATAGTGGCTGACATAATATGTTCATCTCTAAGATATAAATTTGGTGATTGACCATAGAGAAACTCAAAATATTAATTAATATTAAATAACATTTAAAAATATAAAAACAATATTAATTAATATTTTTAATTACAATACATTTGTTTAAAGAAAACATTGTATTCCAACGATTCTCAAGTAAAGACTTAGGGTTTATGATCAACGGTGGTTTAATCTTTCAATCTCCCAGATGATGGTAACTAAATTGGATATATCTCAAGCCTCATCAAGAAGACTCAAGTTTCTTATGATGCTAAGATTTGAAGACTTATAGTGTGAAAGAGAGGAAGAGTGAATGTTCGTATGTTTGAGTGATGTGTGTATTGTAAAGAAACAAGAACATTTTAGAAAGGAATATGGATAAATAACACACTAAAAACATTAAAAAACCTCTTATTTTTTTAGTTAAAATCACAATAAAAATTGTTTTTTAGACTGGTTGATTTAGGAAGTGCCCAGTTGATTAAAAGACTTTTTGAAATTGTCTAATCGATTAGATCTTTGGCCTAATTGATTAGATGATGCATAATCAAGTTTATAATCGATTGTGAGAGTCTCTTGATGATTTATAACGACTCTCTATCTAAACCTTTCAATTTTGGCCATAACAATCGATTATTCGTGCTACCTAATTAATTAGGTAATTAATTTGGCCCATGAATTGTTTCCAAATTTACACCATGTATTCGCCTATAAATTGATTGTATATCATTTTTATTGTTCAGAAAACGTGAAAAACCTCATTATTCACTTCTCTCATCACCTCTCTAAATCGTTCTTATTTTTAACGTATTTTATTCATAGTGTTTTGTGAAGTGTTCTTGAGTCTCAATAAGGATATTGTTCTGGGTGAGGGTATAATTATAAATTTATCAAGAGTAGATTTTTCTCTTGATTAAATAATTCTTCCTTAGAAAGTCATTATTTTGATTGAGAATTACACCATTTAAAAAACTCTTATTTGTATTTGGAGGATTAGTCTTCGTCTTCATTCGACTCGTGAGGTTCGTCATTGAAAAAATTCTCTTTTGATTCGTGAAGACCAGCTAGTAAAAATCTTCACAACGATTCTTGAGCTCAGTCTGATTTAAAAGCTCTATCGATTCGAGATAAACATATTGAAAATCTCACTCGATTTCTAAGTTCAGCCATGTATAAAAACTCAATAGGTTTGAGATTATCCCGTTATAAATCTCAGTTTGGTTTGGAGGATAGTCAACTCAAAAATCTGTCTTGGTTTGTGGTCAGCCTGTATAAAACTCTGATTCGGTTGGAAGGACAACCAATTTAAAACTCTGTCTTAGTTCGAGGCCAGCCTGTGCAAAATCTTTGTTTGATGTGAAGACTAGCCGCTTTAAGCCGCATTCTTTGTTTAGTTAGAAGTTAGTCTGAAACTTCATTTCCTTGTATAAGGGGGGTCGTGGGCATAATCTTCTAAAAGCTCTCAAGCATAATAGATACACTCAAGATCGATTCTTGGGGACAAGATTGAATCTTCTTGATTAAACCTGTATACTTCTCCGATGTCATTTCTCTTTCTTTATTTCTTTTATTTTCAATGATTTTCTTTACTTTAAATTTCTATACTCATTCAAATGTTTTTGATAAAATGTTTTCAAACTCCGGTTTATCAAATAATTTTGTTTTAAATCAATAATTTTCAAATCTCTACAATTCACCTCACCTCACATGTTCAACAAATAACACCAGAGTCTAACTTTTATTTAAAGACGAATCGTCTCGAGAAAATTAATTTTCAATATCAATTTTAACAAGAAGATTTTCTTAAACACATCTTAATGGTGATATATTTGAATTGTGAAAAATTAAATAGTAAAATAGTAAACAAAATTGTCTTTCTTTGAAGCCATGCAAAAATGAGTAAATTTAAAATTGATATTAAAACTATAGACATTTTTAGATGTCTTTAAATGAAAACAAATTTATATACATGTATTAATGTCAACAACTTTTTATGATAAAAAACTAAAACTGTAAATTTATTAACGTCACTTATAAATAAAAATCAATTTCATACTTATTTTGAGCAATAGCATGATATTTTTTGCGTTAGTAACAGTCCTTTCTGAAAATTAATTTATGGGAATGTACTTAATTTGAAATAAATATGGACTGGTCGAAAAAAATATGTTACTCAAATTTTAAAAACAGTTATATAAAACATTCTTATTCATATCTTTCAACAATAGTTGCTGTGGTGTAGTGGTTATCACGTCAGTCTTACACACTGAAGGTCTCCAGTTCGATCCTGGGCAGCAACAATTGTCTCATTTTTTCAATATCTATTGTTTTAAAACATCCAACGTAGTAAAACATGTTTCTGCCATTTTCGTATGAGTTTTTAGTCTATTTCTTGTTCTTGAGGCTTATGAAGCTACATTTTAAAGCTTGATTTCAACACAAGACCTTACCAAGATCTTTGAACGCATAAACAAACAAGCATTTTTTCTCTTTTTCACTAACCTTAAGCAAGTTTATTGACATCTAAGAAAGTCCAAATATATTAAGGTTTTCACACTTAATTTTAATAGAAATTGATCATTGAAATAAGACATAATAGAAAAACTAGAGGTTCATTTTTCTTTTGCTCGTTATGTTAATGAACTGACAAAAAAAAAATCTCTTTTACCATCATAAATAAGAACATTACAAACATTGTCCTGAAAATTGAATACACAATCAAGGAGATACCAAAAAACAAAATGTTAAAATAAGAAACAATCTCCACATCCTCCTCGTTCGAGCCTTCGGCCAAAGTCACAAAACTACTACGTCGAGCTTGAATTAAGTCTGAACATTTCTCATAGTTCATAAGATGGTTGTTATGCACTTTGAAGTTATGCAAGTTGGCGACCCTCCCAATTGTCCATTTAGCATATGGAACTTTGAAACAATTTAGTGCTGCTTACTTAGCTATAACATTCACCTTCACTTTAGCGGTAACATCTGGATGAAGTTTTAACTCTGCAATATATTCTCCTGTTTCCCTGATCTCTGGAAGATTAACAATTCTCTTGTCCACCTCCCTAGAAATCAATCACAAAACCAATTAGACTGCACTAGCTTTAAATAGTGAATCATTAGAATGAATTGAGATTCATCATAGAGAATCAGAACTCATCATAATATTGCTTTCGTGCTGTGAGCTTCCCCAGAACAAATGCTATTGTTGATGGGGCAGCTCACAGCACAAAATCTTCATGCCGAACCCTACCACCGCTACGGTATTCCTCTATAACGCGCTATTGATAACATATGCTCACAAAGAAAAGATTGTTGTACATCAAAAATATGATAGTACCTTTGAAGTTGTGCCTTTATTATGTCCGCAAGATCTTGAGCCGTAACACTAAAGAGAAAGCAAACATCAGACACAATCATACAGGCACAAATCGAAATCTTGTAAATAGGTGGAACATATTTTACCTTCCAAAGATCTGTTTTCCTTTCCCACCTTTACGTTTCACTATAAAAGCCCCAGCAGTTTCAAAAATTAGAGCAAGTTGCTGTGCCACTTCTTTTACCTAAAGAAATGTAAACTTAGATTAGATAGCCTTATTTATCTTCAAATGTATGTAGGAGAAAAACTCCAGAAAATTTTCACAAGTACGAAAATAGTTGTAAAATTTCCTAAACCGCGGAGAATCGGATATTAAACAATGAATGCAGAATAATTATGGAGCTTTGAGAGAAATTTACATTCTGCAATAACTCATTGTTAAGAGCCTATAGCCCTTCATGGAATGTTCTTTAGAACTTAGCAGCAGAACATATTAACATTCTTTTCCTCTTTAAATCTCTTACTCAATTTTCACTTATCATGGAATTCACTGCATATTATTATTACCAGAAGACCAAAGAAATGATACCGGGACAACGAAAAGTTACCCGTTGTTTCTCAGCCTCAATTCTACCTTCTTCTATCTTCATTTGCCTGGAAAGAGAAAGTTAAAATGAAAAGGTCTAAAGACAATACAAGGGAAACACAACTCAAAATTTGACAAATATGTTTTTTTTCTTAATGTAATGCCTAATGCATTATTGTAACGAAAAACTAACAGGCTTTCATGTTTTCTTGACGGAGTTTCTTCTTTTTCTAAAAAAAGTTGTTGATTTATAAATATCAACAACTTGTTTACATTAATACATAAATATAAATAAAAGTTAGGTCAGGAATTGAACCATAGACCAACCGCTTACACCAATTTAACTCAACTAGCACATACCAGTTGAACTATCCCACCCCACCCACCCTATCAGAGTTTATTCTTGATGATACCAAAACCGGTAAACTATGTATCACTCACACTTCGAATTGAAGATGATGTGTCCAGTGTTCAATACATCATTTACTTAAAATACTAGTGGATATGTGTCAACGCCGACATTCGTGCCAGGTGTCTGATACGCACCAATGTTCAACACTAACACAACACTTACACATGTGTTAAATTCAATGTTCAACACTAACATAACACTTACACATGTGTTAAATTCAATGTTCAACACTAACACAAACACTTACACATGTGTTAAATTCAATGTTCAACACTAACATTGATGTTCTTGCTAGGTGTCTGATACATGTCAATGTTCAACACTAACACAACTGACGATATTCGTGTCAGGTGTCTGATACGTTCCAATGTTCAACACTAATGTATTTGATCTATATATTGTCCAAGCAACTTAGTTATACAATATATCTAAAAAGTAAACTTAGTGTCAACATTCACGTAGTTGATTCTAGTAATTTATCCAAAGTGACCTAATTGCAAATTCTTATGGAGGGGTTATGTAGTTGAAGTAATAGAGCATTACTTGAGTACTTTAGGAGTAACAAGTTGAGCCTTGCCATTTGGTAAGAGGAAATTTCTGAAAAACCCAGCCCTCACATCAAGAAGTTCCCCTTTCTTTCCAACATCAACCATATCTTCCTTCAGTATAATCTAATTTTACAAAATAGCAACAAAAAAACAACCAAGTAAATACAATTCATAAATACATTACAACAGAGAAAAATTAAGTAATGTAGATGTAATTAACCTTTCGAATTTTCTTCGCTTTCTTTTGAGCGAAAACCATAAAGCCTGAATTTTTGTTGGGAAATAGAGAAGAAGTTTTCAAGTTTGCGGCGAAACTGTGTTGCAACGGGGTCGAGGAGAGAGAAGATAATGTTGATGATGCCATTGTTGTTTTGAAAACTCACCACCCAAAATGTGTTCTGTTTTGTTCTCTTATCTCTTTTGCGTTATTACGAGTGAAGATTACAAAAAATATAATAAAATATAAAAATCGTAGTTATATAAGTGGGGTAATTTGGCAGTATAGATGAAAAAATTGTTTGATGCATTTTGATGGATTAAAAGATAATAACTAAGCAAAAGATTTATATGAAATGAAAATTTAGGGTATAATATGATTTTTCTAAACTAAAATTATAAAATTTTCAATTTTTTTCACAAAATATTTGATGTTTCGGAAAGCATTTTAATTTTAAAAATAAATTTAACTGATATTTACTATTTATCTAAAGTATTAAATGAGGCTGGATCACGTTTTCGCCACCTAACACCATCCATTAACGTTCAAGTATCCTCAACGTTATATATTTGTAGAAGAGTTAATGAGTAGGGTTCTTTGGGTCAGGTCAAAGTTATTAAAGTACACAATTTCTCAAGCGCGAGACTTGTAAGAGTGATGGTAAGGTAAGACATCTCAATTCATAATTCCTCGAGCATGAGGTTTGTTAGGACAGTGAGATTAAGTTAAGACATTGTAGTCAACAATCTCTCAAGCATGAGACATGTAAGAGCAATGTGTTTTGAGTAAGACATTTTAATCCACGTATAAGATGTAATTTGTATGTTTCTTATTTTATGTTCATGATGCTTTCTATAAAAATATGAGGGAGAATAACCATCTTTACATTCACGATGCTTTTTATATAAATATGAGGGAGAATAACCATTTTTATGTTCATAACTTTTAGATGAGTTTACTTAATACTTTATTACCTTTGTCTAAAAACTTAATATTAAGTAATTGTGCTATAACCTTTAAAATATTTTAACAGCATGTTTAAGACTCTTACCAATAGTATCTAAACCAACAACCTTACACTTGTTTCTATAAGAACTTTCTTTTTTTGTAGGAGTAAAATAAGACAGTTGATTGAGCACCCATTTTCTGAATGCGAGCTATCAATTATATCTACATAACAAATTGACTATTTTACCTTTGATACCAACTCTTTTTGAATCCTTTAATGTTAGTGAGATAAACATATTTTTCACTAGATTTCACATTTTATATAAGATGCAGTATGTATGTTTCTCCTTCTACGTTCATGATGCTTTAAAAATATGAGGGAGAATAATCATATTTAGGTTTTTAACTTTTAATAGTGAAACAAAAAATTACAACATGGTCAATTCTATTGTAATAGTTACATCTAAGAATTTTCTATTTATGCGTTGTATGATCATGACAAAATTTATCAAACTTTTTAACATTATTATTAGGTTTATAATCTATGTCAGTCTTATTGCATGATGCTTTTTTATTTTTTAAAAGGAAATTTAAGTTGTCTCTTCGTTTAGTGAATCTTTTAAGTATTTTTTTTCAAATATTTATTTTCATTTTTCAAAATGTTCACATTGATTGGATTTATTAGATTCAACTAATATGTTAAGTCTGTGATTTATGCTTGGCAATAATTTTGGTAAAACATATTTAATTTGAAGAAACATGCATCATAGTCAGATGTTGAGTAAGAAGTCATGACATCTTGACCAACTGATACAGCCGAGTTTGCTGTTACTTTTTTTAACAGATGTTGTGACATGAGATACCAGAATATCAGAACAGTTCTGCATTTTAAATCCTTGAAGATTTGATTTTAGAATATGAGATTCTGGACGATTTTAGTTCTCATACAGGCGCAACTAAGAAATGATTTTTTAGGAACATTGCATATTAGACTGTATTTCATAAAAAGGACCTTGAAGCCTTTTTAGGAAAGTTTCTATTTTGTTCCTATTTGTGTGCATAAGATTTGAAACTGTTTTGCATTTTATTTTGAGAGTCCAGGCCCATGTTTTTGTGATGTTTATTTAAAGGGGTTTCCTAAACCTAAAGAAGGTGTGAAATTTGAAGAATAAGGATTAGTCTTGCATTGGAGTCTCTTTAGGATTTAGTGTGTTTTTCTTTGTATGTAACTCTTGTATCAATTTTGATGCATTGAGTTGACTGATTGTCAATTGTTAATTGCTCACTCTAAAACTTAATGTATTGTTTTTATTTGAAGCTTTTAAGAAAAACTAAGTATTGTACTTGGAAGTGTGTTTACTTCTATTTTGGTCTTGTTGAATTGTCACTGGTAGGAAGTGAGAGGGATTTCTCATATCTAGGATTTCCTATATAGAAGTTTGTATGGGTAGTGATTATGTGATATGTTATAAACGGGAGTGTTTAGCATTGAACTAATACTATTATAGTGGACTTTCTTTCTGACTTGGTATCCCCCAGATGTAGGTGAGTTGCATCGAACTGGGTTAACAATTGATTGTGCTATTTTATCTTTCTACCATTTAAGTTTTTGCATATTTACTTGTGTGATCAAACTGTCTTAATCCCAGTGTTGTGACATTTGTCTCGACATCTGGTATCTGCATGCCAAAATTTCAATTAGTATCAGAATGGGTCACCCTTATCTGTTTTTGGGTGAGCTCCAAGGAGTTTGTATTCTAGTACTATAGGTAAAGAATAATGAGGAAATGTTAACATGTCCTCAATCTTAGATGACACTAACTATGACTATTGGAAGACACGTATGGTGGCTTTCTTAAAATCTTTGGATAGCAAAAATTGGAAGGTTATCATTAAAGGTTGGGAGCACCATGTGGTTAAAGATAAAGATGGGAAGAAGACCTTGAAGCCAGAAGAGGATTGGACAAAGGAGGAAGATGAAACTTCTTTTGGAAACTCCAAAGCCTTAAATGCTTTATTCAATGGAGTTGACAAAAATATGTTTAAGTTGATCAACACCTGCACTATAGCTAATGATGCTTGGGAAATTCTCAAGTCAACTCATGAAGGCACATCTAAGGTAAAGATGTCAGACTTTAGCTACTGACTACCAAGTTTGAAAATCTGAAGATGATGCAGGATGAGAGAATTCATGAATTTCACATGAATGTTCTTAAAATAGCCAATGCCTTTAGTGCTCTGTGAGAGAAAATATTAAAAAAAAAGCTGGTTAGGAAGATCCTCATGTCTCTTTCCAAGAGATTTGATATGAAAGTAACTTCCATTGAAGAAGCTCAAGATATCAATAACATGAAAGTTGATGAACTTGTTGGTTCACTTAAAACTTTTGAAATGACTATTAATGACAAGTCTGAGAAGAATAACAAGAGCATAGTGTAACACCCCACTTCCCAAAATTAAAATAAAATACGATTAATCCAAAAAAAAACATCAGAGTCTCCCCTCATCAAGTGGGATATCACATCACATAAGCCATAATAATCTTCATTAGAAGGTTTTCAAAACAAAAAAGCGGAATAATATTTAATTCATCATTCTCGGCCATCCGCCGAATTACATAAAACGATTCATGAAAAAGTTCACCAACATGATATGTCACAGGAAATAAAACAAGTTCAGCATAAAAACAAATAAACACCCAAGTCCCGTGCTACGTATCAGAGCATCCTAAGACTCGACTCGCACACCACTATCCAAGCTAGCTAAGTACCTAGGTTATCTGTACTTCCGAAGAAGCACAGACCACAATAACAACAAAGGGGTGAGAAAACATGATCAAAATTATCGGTAATATAGTACATGAAATAAAGGTAGCAATCATATAAAATATCACCCAACATTCATCAAAACGACCTACTGTCCAACAACAACACAACACACCATAATGCAAATATGCAACTCAACACCATGCATGCGGTACCGACTCATTGGTTCATTCAATCGAAAATTACCTGATGGAAACAATTCCGGATACGCTTCCCGCATCCTGCTTTCCAATTCGCAGGTCACACTGCCTCCTACAACACCTCCCCAAGTTACTTTCACCAAGGATATCTCCTTTCCTCGGAGTTGTTTCATTTTACGATCTTCGATCCTCAACGGCATCGTCTCAACAGTAAGATTCTCACGGACCTGAACTTCATCTCTCGAAATCACATGAGATGGGTCCCAGACATACTTTCGAAGTTGCGACACATGAAACACGTCATGCAGATTCGAAAGCTCAGGCGGTAACGCCACTCTATAAGCTACAACACCAATTCTCTGCAAAATCTGATACGGTCCAATAAACTTAGGATCCAACTTCTTGGACTTCAACGCACGACCCACGCCGGTCATCGGGTTAACTCTTAGAAACACATGATCACCTTCACTGAATTCCAGTTCCTTCCTTCGGTTATCATGATAACTTTTCTGCCTACTCTGAGACGCTTTCATTTTCTCACGAATCATCTGAATGGTCTCAACAGTCTGCTCCATAATCTCTGGTCCCAATACCACATTCTCACCGGTTTCATACCAACATAGAGGAGTTCGGCATCTCCTACCATATAAAGCCTTGAACGGTGCCATTCCGATACTAGAATGGTAACTGTTATTGTACGTGAACTCTATCAACGGTAAATGAGTATCCCACGCACCACCCTTCTCCAACACACAAGCTCTCAACAAATCTTCCAGCGACTGAATAGTCCTCTCTGACTGACCATCAGTTTGTGGATGGTAAGCTGAACTCAACTTCAACTTAGTACCCAAAGCTTCCTGCAAACTCCTCCAAAATTCTGAAGTAAACCTCGGATCTCTATCCGACACGATACTCGATGGAACACCATGCAGCTTCACAATTACACGAATATAAATCTCTGCTAGCTTCCCCAACGGAAAGCTGATATTGATCGGCACAAAATGTGCGACTTTGTAAGTCGATCCACAATTACCCAAATAGCTTCAAATCCTCTCGTCGTGTTCGGCAAACCCGTAACAAAATCCAAGGTGATACAATCCCATTTCCAAACCGAAACTTCCAACGGCTGCATAAATCCAGAAGGTCTCTGATGCTCTACCTTCGACTTCTGACATATCAAACATGCATAAACAAATTGAGCTATATCTCTTTTCATACCAGACCACCAAAATAA